AAATCAGGAATGAGACAAGGGTGCCCACTATCCCCCTCCTATTCAAAAGTCCTGGAATTCCTAGTAAGATGCAATCAGGCAAGAAGAAGAAAGCAAAGGATACAATGATAAAGAAATAGTCAAAGTATCTCTATTTGCAGATGACATGATCCTATACCTCAAAGACCAAAAAAAACCCCACCCAAAAACTCCTGGACACTGTAAACAGCTTCAGCAATGTAGCAGCATACAAAATTAACTTACAAAAATCAGTAGCCTTTCTACACCAACAATGAACAAATTGAGAAAGAATATAGGAAAACAATTCCACTTACAATAGGCCCCCAAAAAATCAAATACCTAGGAATAATTTTAACAAAGGATGTAAATGACCTCTACAAGGAGAACTACAAACCACTGAAGAAAGAGATCAAGGAAGACTACAGTAGACGGAAAGATCTCCAATACTCAAGGATTGATAGAATCAACATAGTAAAAATGGCTATACTACCAAAAGCAATCTACATATTCAATGCAATACCCATCAAAATCCCAATGACATTCATCACAGAGATTGAAAAATCTACCCTAAAGTTCATTTGGAACCACAAGAGACCATGAGTGGCCAAGGCAATACTCAGCAAAAAGAGTAATGCTCAAGGTATCATAATACCCAACTTCAAACTACACTACAGAGCCATCACAATAAAAACAGCATGGTACTGGCACAAAAACATACATGGAAATGAATAGAGGACCCTGATATGAATCCACACAGCTATGCCCAACTTATTTTTGACAAAGACACCAAAAACATACTATGGAGAAAAGACAGCCTCTTCAACAAATGTTATTGGGAAAAGTGGTTAGCTACCTGCAGAAAACTGAAACTAGATCCATGCCTGTCACCCTGTACTAGTATCAACTCACAGTGGATTAAGGACCTTAATATCAGACCTGAAACCTTGCAGTTAGTACAGGGAAGAGGAGGGAATGCTCTGAAAGAAATAGGTATAGGCAAAGAATTCCTCAGTAGAGCTCCAGCAGCCCAGCAACTAAGAGAAAGGATGGACAAATGGGACTACATGAAATTAAAAAGCTTCTGCACAAGAAAGAAATGGTCTCTAAATTAAAGAGATCACCCCCAGAGTGGGAGAAAATATTTGCCAGCTATACATCAGACAAGGGACTGATAACCCAAATATACAGGGAAATCTAAAACTCCTCCAAAACTAATGAATCAATAAAGAAGTGGGAAACTGAGCTAAACAGAACTTTTTTAAAGGAAGAAGTCCAAATGGACAAACACACGTGAAAAAAAATGCTCACTATCCCTGGCCATAAAGGAAATGCAAATCAAAACCACACTAAGATTCCACCTTACCCCTGTTAGAACAGAACACCACCAACAACAAATGTTGACTAGAATGTGGGGGAAAAGGAACCCTCATACACTGCTGGTGGGAATGTAAGCTAGTACAACCACTTTGGAAGACATTATGGAGCCTCCTTAAAAAACTAAACATAGATCTGCCATATGATCCAGCAATACCACTCCTAGGGATATACCCAAAGGAATGAATGTGAATTAAGTTATTACAAAATCATCTGCACACCCACGTTTATTGCAGCACTATTCACAATAGCCAAGTTATGGAAACAGCCAACATGCCCCATAACTGATGAATGGATCAAGAAAATGTGGTATTTCTACACAATGGAATTTTACTCAGCCACAAAAAAGAATGAAATTTTGTCATTCACAATTAAATTGATGGAACTGGAGAACATCATCTTAAGGGAAGTTAGCCAGGCTCAGAAGGCCAAAAATTGTATGTTCTCCCTCATATGTGGATTATAGACCTAAAATAAATACAGTAATATTATTGGACATGGGTGACAAACTAAGAGAGAATGCACACAGGAGGAATAGGGAAAGGGAAGAAACCTAAAACTTGAATGTGGTTGATGTGCTCACTGTAGAAGAGCGAATAAAGTAATCTTTAACTGGCAGAGGCCACTATGGGAAGGGAAGTAAAGTTGTGGCAGAGATGAACTAATGTGGGTTTCAATACACATGAGCATGGAAATGACACTAGGAATTTCTCTGTATCTTTATCTCAAACTAGCAAAAACGCTATGTCTTTCTTATTATCTCCTATGTTTTCTTTTCAACAGAAGTGGGCAGCACAGGTAATGCCCCAAAGCATGGGGAGGAGGTGCATGGGAGAAGGGTGGAGGTGAGCCAAACAATGCATACACATGTAAGTAAATGTAAAAATGATAAAATAAAAGAAAAGAAAGAAAGAAAAAACAAAAAGTTTCTGCACAGTAAGGGAAACAATCAACAGAGTGAAGAGCCAATGGGAAAAAATATTTTCAAACTATATATTTGATTAAGAGTTAATGTCTAGGATATATAAGGACTCCAAAAGCTTACAGCAAAAAACTAAACAAATGACCCAGTTTAAAGTTAAACAATAAACCTAAATAGGCAAGTATCAAAAATAAGTCAATTATGGGCATCATTTGAGAACTTGAAGAAGTAAATCAAAAATAATACAATGAACATTTAAAACTATAGTCCAAGAAAAATTCCAAGAAATAAAGATCTGAATCCATATACAGAAAAAAGGATGTACTGTGCTTGGGAAAACTGATTTGAAATTTGGAACCAACTCTAAGAATTAATGTCTGAAAAAACATAGAATTGTTCTCTCTCTTTCTCTCTCTCTTTAACTCTCTCCCTCTCTCTCTAGTGCTCTCTCTCTCTCTCCTCCCTGTTTGTATATGTATATGCATGTACATAAAAAATCTTCTTTCTTACATTTCAACAGACCAATCATTTTCACATTTCCATAATCATTTCCAGCCCCAATCAACACACATGCAGTGTTTGTGTGGTTTCAATTGTCATTTTTATACTTTTCTGGTTTTCCACATAGTCAAAAGCACAATGTTTTTGGTTCCTTTATACATTTATAAAATTACTACTGGAATGGAAAATCCTTCCTTTTTTTCTCACAACTCCTCCACACATGCTCATTCAACTAACCACCCCCCCCAAAAAAAAATATACACAAATTAATAAGATAAAGAATAGAAGCTTCATCTGTACAATTCTATGAATGAGAAGAGTCAGAATAATGAAGGCAGACTATATTCCAAAA